AGTAAGGTTAAGAGAGGTATGTGCACTCGATTTTATTTCAAACAAAGACAGTGTTGCTTCTGTTGGATTTGGTGACATAATGAAATCCATATTATGTGGGATTTAGATTGAGATTGATATTGATAAGTTTCTTAAAAGCAATAGAAATCCAAAAAGATTAGTACTCTTGAATATATATCTTGGTTTTTTTTATATATGTAACATCTATAAGAAGTTTTTTATTTAGTATGGATTCTTAACTTTATATATGGGATGAAAGATAAAATACTTGGTAACCTCGGGCTGTGCATAGAAGGTAATGCTCACATGAGACCGATTGGGCACTGCCCCAAACATTTGGGCAAAACTCTACAATAAAAAAAGCTCAAAAAAACAAAAATTAAAATACGATCCGAGGATGGTATCCTCGGATCAAGGGGCAATTTCGAAAATAAAAAATAAAAAACCTCATAATGACGGACCTTTCGTGCAATTTTAACCCAAAATTGACTCATTTCATATTTTAGTATTTTTTTATGCCCATACGTAATTAACCCTTTTTTTTAATGTTAACTGTGGATTTTCATTAAAGAATCGATTATGATTAGGAGTCCCAATACGTGGAGAATTAAAAAGGTATAAAATTCGTCATTTAATTGTGCGAGTTAGTTTGAGTTCTATTGTAATTAGGAGTCCTTCCGGATGAATATGGCCTAATTTTTTGGGATTAAATTGAGCTATTTAATTTCTATGGATATATGTTGCAATCCCATTAAGATAGGGAACACAATTTGAATTAGGGTTAGGATGACGTGCGACGTAAGTACTATTTGAATTAGGAAAGTATTTGTAAAGTCAGAATTAGGAAAGAGTTGAAGTCCTAAATAGCAGCCTGAGAGACACAGAAGTTGCTTGTAATAAAATTGAAGAGATAAATGAGGGAGGTGACGATACTTTGGTTAGAGACTTTGAGAGTTAGCGTGAGAAAGAAGACACAAAGCGTTTGAGAGTTAGAAAGAGGAAGCATGCGAAAGAAAAGATCACAGAGCTTAGAGAATTAGAGAGAGAATGGTGCTTTTTTAGAGAGAGAAAGGCAGAGAGGCAACCGTGCCAAAAAAAGACAAAGTTATTGAGAGAGAAATTCAAGTTGCTTCTCCCTCTTCTGCAATCATGTCCAAGAAACGATTGCACATATCATGGTCGACTATGTGTCCTTCGATGATCTCACTGCGCTAAAAAATTCGTGAGTTTTTTTGGTTTAAATTCTTTCTTTAGATCTTTATCTTCTTTTCTTTTTTCCTTGCTTTCTTTCTAAACTCTTTAACTGAGTTGTATGGTTGTTATGTTAGGGGTAAGAGGTTTAAGTGTTGGGTATATGTAGCTTTTAAAGGTCTTATGAGAGCTTGTATGAGTATTTTATATAGTGGAACATAAACTCTGTGGGAGTGTGGTCTTTTTGTGGACTACACTAGGCAAATGTTATTTGCTGATACTCGGACTAGGCTCGATGAGTTAGGCCAGTCGAGGTTTGGCAAAACCCAAGATACCTGGTCATAAGGATCTACCGAGAAAGGTTTAGTGGGTTATTCCTTGATGAGGTCAGAGTACGTCCAGATGAGAGAGCCAAGGGACCGTGTAGCCCGTGTGTGTGATAAATAGCCTTTAGAGACATGGCTAAAACGTCATCATTATATTATCACACGACATATAAATAGATAACCGTTTTGAGATTCACCAATGAGGGTGAAGCGTGTATATGTGCGAGAGATTACCCTATACACCATAGAGTCATGGTTGCATCATGGTCTGGAGGACTATGGTTTTTTTGTCTCTAAGAGAGAACCTGAAATCCGTAAACTGCGATTGCATCCCCTCGTCTATTGTCTGACTTTGGTGGTCCAATCATAAGCCCCTGCGATGGACTGTGGGTCATAGGAACTGCTTAGTCAATTTGATAAAGCTCGACAGATCGTGATTCGCAGTCGAAGGTGGAGTGCTTTCATATATTGATAATTTCCTATATCTAACGGATCCGATTCCCATCATAATTAATTAATTTTATGTTATGTGATTTTTAAAATTTTTATTTGAATTTTTATGAATCTATTGATTATTTATTTTTGTCATTTGGTTTTATAAATTAAGAGAAATTAATTTTTCAATATTTTAAATAAAATATTAGATTTAAAAATTATAAATATGAAATAAAATATTTTTTATTATATATGAGACCTCTATGAAATATGGGGCCCAAAATTTAAATACATGTGGATTAGGTGGGGCCCACACGGGTGGCGCGCTCTATCCATTCACCTATTTTTGTTTATCCCTTGTTGGCTTATTTTTTGGGTATAGCCATGATAAAGTTGAATATTTGAGATATTTATTAATTCTTTGAATCAAGATTGGTTGATCCAATAATTAAAGATTTGATATATTAAAATATAATAGATGAATAGTCATTCGATGGATCGTTATTTTACTATATTCATTTATTATCTCCTGTATATCTCCACTGTTTTCCTTTTTTATTTTATTTTTTAAATTAAACTCATGTATCTGAATGTTTTTGTGCTTTGATGCCATAGCCGTATTTGTCTTTGTTGTATTTATTCGGGTTTTGGGGGATTATTTGTTGACAAGATACTGCATGTGAAGCGCTCTAGACAGAGAAGAAGTTTGTCCAGCTCATATCTCCATTGTATTCAAATGGTTTTTAAATATTTTTCCTCTCTAAACTAATGGTTTTTTTTTTGGTGGATTTCTCTCTGTTGATCGAGAGAAACAAGGGGATTTAATATTTGTTTAGAGGTCAAGCTCTAAACAATCAAAATAGAGCGCATCTTCAAAACGTATTCAGAAATGTGATTTTAATACTGCAAATATTTGTGATGGCCTCAAAATATATTTTTCATATCTAATTATAAAACTTAAAGCTTAAAAAGTAGTGCGGATCAAGTGGATCTATGAAAACTTGAAAATTGACAGTCCAAAAATGCATTACAAGATGCACTACTTCCAAAACTTGAAAACCATTTTTTTCTCATGTGCATGCATCTTGATGTCGAGATAATCAACTTGAGGATATTTGGGCATCAAGACAACATCTTCTAGTGAAATTTTTGAAGTGCGTTTTAATTTGATTGTTTAAAGACTCGGCTCTATATAACTTTTTTCTTTTACTTTTAGTACGTGGAGGTCACAATCATTCTTCGGCTTGTTTGGATCGTAGGGTAAAGAAAACCATATTTTGGATCATAACATGGTTATACAAGCCCTTGGTATATCAAAATTGTTTGGATAGCTTGTAAATAATACCCAGTTTATATAAAAACCCTTGTTTGGGTCATCTATTTGCATAACCTGGGTTTACACTATTTTGGACACATTTGATAGGTGTGAAAATATTTTCGTACAAAATACTTTCATGTGAAAATCACATTGCACACATTTGGTATGCAACAAATACATAAGAAAATTTTTCCCATTAATAAAAATTTTATGAAAATTTTAGAGAGAAAAACTATACCAAATTTTAGAAAGACAAACTACCTTAAAATCTTTAGAGAGAGAAACTATTTCAATATTTCTAGAAAGAAAAACCATTTTTTGTGTTTTTTTTTATGTCCATGAGTTGATCGGATTTTAGGGTTTTTTGATATCCAAACATTTTTTTTTCTAATGAATTTTTGAAGTGCGCCTAAATTTAATTGTTTAGGGCCTAAACCTTGTATATCTTTTTTCCTCTAAATAATAGTAACAAGAGAAAAGATATTAAAACTTTTGAGATGAGAGAGAGAGGAAAATGTTAAAGACGAAACATTTTGGGATGAGAGAGAGAGTTCCTGTCTAGGGGCCCATATACTGCACAAGCCACATATGAAAAAAATGCGCACAGACAAGGTCGATTATTGGTTAAAAGGGAGGCAAGAGACGAGCGTGGCTGATTAAAACAACGTTTTGTTTAGCTAGGTGTTTTTTCTTGAATTGGGGAACCCACGTTTTGTGGTTATACAAAAGGTGGTTTTGTGTTTAAAAAAAAAGGCAAACGCGTTTTTTTTCTCAATAACATGGGTATACAAAACCGTCTTATGCTTACCATAGGATCCAAACGAGCCCTTAGCCATTGGATGTAAAATCAAATAAATGAATATGTATCATTACATTGGAGAAATTTTTTTTTTAGATTTCTACCCAACTTCTCAACCACCCATTTTCATTTTCATTTTCAAATTTAACCGTCGAAGATGGAGCAACTCAACTACCTTCTCTTTGCCTCTCGACTCGATACCGTCACCTTTCATCTTCATAGCCAGAGAAAGCTCCAAGGCTACCAAAAACCAATGGCAAGCTAAGTCCCTTCAGAAGGCCTTGGCAGTAGGAAACATGAAAAAAATTTCTCTCACAAAGGAAAGTTCGTGAACCTTTTCACAAACATGGAGGTACAAGCAACCTTCGTCAAGTCTTTGATGGCGGGGACTTCCTTTCTCTCTACACCCCAAGGGGACCTGGTTTCTCTCATCCAACAAGTTGGAGAGGACTAGGGAAGGGAGGTTGCCGATGGGTTTGAGAAGTTTGCTATACAGTAGAAGCCTCTTTAAGGGGTTCGATGCATGCCAATATTTTCATCTAAACATTTCTACCATGGTCTTTTGACTATTTACTTTTGAAAGCTCTACGCCCTATTTGTTTCATCGACTCATGGGTATACAAAACCATCTTAATGCTTACCATAGGATCCAAACGATCCCTTAGCCATTGGATGTAAAATCAAATAAATGAATGTGTCACCATATTGGAGAAATTTTATTTTGGATTTCTACCCAACTTCTCAACCACCCATTTTCATTTTCAAATCTAACCGTCAATGATAATTATAATCTCTTGTTTCAAAAGTAAATAGTCTCATTCTATACATTTCTTTTTATAATAATATACATTTCCTTTTATAATAGTAGGAAGCTAATTCACATAAACCTGTAAAACGAGTCAACCCAACCCAACCCGACCCATTTACACCCCTAAGAAACCTGGGTGAACATTTCACATTGTTGATCGTACATGAGTGGATTGATCATATTCGGTGCTGCACTTGACCAAATATCACGCATATTGGGTTACAGTGTGCGTGAGGCTATGCTCCCATGGGAGCAAAATATAGAACTGGGAGCATGCTATGCTCCGGTGAGAGCATAATACAGAATTGGGATAATGGTGAAGTACTGTAAATTTGACACAACTAATCTACAAATCATTTGGGTGATTTGGGGACCTCTGGACTTTGGGCCCGACTGGATCCTGGTTTTCTTTTTACCCAGTTATATGAAAATCGGGTCTCCCTCAAGTGAAGTTTTGACACCTTTTCTTCGCTTTATCAGGTTTATAGAGCTCTCACAGAGAAGGTTTTCGGGGTCTTGATAAATACCTCAGTTTTGGATAAAACCCAAGTTTCTTTATATCTGGTGCCAAAAAATTGTTTCAGAATTTCCTATTAAGTCAAGTAAAACACTATAATCGCAAATGAGAGAGAGAGAGAACACAGGGAGAGAGAACCATCAATTATCATTGCAACACCACTCACAAAATAGCCTGTGGCTGTCTTCATTTCCTTTAATCGCGTCCCACACAGAGAGTTTCTTTCATGGCTAGACTCAGCCATTTTGCAGGGACAGTGAGAGAGAAGACAGGCAGCAGGCAGCAGGCAGCAGGCAGCAGAGACAGATAGAGGGTGCTGCTCATTTTACCCTATGAAATACAGAAACCGTTTTGCAAAGAATTTCAACAATATAAGTTGCATACTAAAATCGTACCATCATATTACATGAATTCAATTTTGAAGAGTTACAAAAATGTTGTCCTTGAACTTTGAAATAGATAAAAAGGAAATCAACTTCAAGCACGTGATCAAGATGTAACAAAAAATTTAACTTTTTCTTTTTTGTCAAGATCTTTCGAGGCAGAGGCAATGCACAAAGTTTCAAAGGGAGCTACCATTGTCAAATGGGAAACATAGTCCAATGGTTTCAATATCCAGCAACAATTTTTGGAGAATTTGTCAATTTGTTGTCAAGAATAAACCACCAAACCCTGAAATCACTAAGTTGCTGATAACCTGGGACATTAAAAAAGCAGGTAAGAGAGAGAAAGAGAATGCAACGTTTGATTGCTCAGTAGATCAATCTCAACAAGTTCTTGTTACAACCAAAGTTGGGAAGTAAAATCAGCCAAAAACCATTTTCAGTGTAAAACCACAAATCGAGGATAAGGGAATATGTAGATAAATACATAACTTTTCAAAGCTAAAGGTAACTTTTCAAAGCTAAAGGTCAAGAAAATAAGCCTAAGATATGATTTTTACCCAAGTTGTTAAGATTTCACATGCTCCCTGATAAATTGTTCGACCTGTGAAATCTCACCAGTCATGCCAGATGACTCCCCAACAGTGACCTTGTTAACACAATGAGAAAACATGAAAGACTGCCCTGAAACTCCGAGTGTAAACTCATTGCTAATATCAGCTTCAGAAACAGCATTTCTTGACGTACGAAGCTTGTCTCTGCAAAATACACAAACCACAAAACCACCAAGCATGGCTCAACACCAAAGAAGAAAACTGAAAAGCAAGTCCAATTTCCATAAACAATGAAAAGAGAACCTCATTTCAGGAGTTCTTTTCAATGGATGTACACCTAAACTCTCAAGGGATACTTGGTTCGAAATATCATGAAATCAGGGGTAAGATCTTGCTTCATATAGGCATAATTTGCATATTTTTGGATACTCATGCCCCCATCCTTAGGTTACAAAAGTACTTTTAGAAGCGGATCAGTGACCCCGATCGGGCACCTCAAAAACCGATCCGGATCGGCGAATCGGCGATCTGGATCGGGAATCGACTGAATCGGTGATATTAAAGCTTCAAAAAAATTCCGAAAAAATTATTAAAATTCATTATAAATGTTGTTTTTTAAGAATCCAATAAGAAATGAGGGTACTACACTATTAACTTTCATTGTTTTCATCAATTTATGAATATTGAGATGTTCTTTCCCTGTATGAACTTATGCTG